CAAAATATATATCAGGAAACAATAAACATTGATTGCTCATAATTCTCAATATTAATGGCATCATTCCCCAATAAAAAGACATAGACTAGCAGATAATATTAGAAAGCAGAATCCATCTTTCTGCTACATCCAAGAAATGCATTTCACCATCAAGGACATATGTCCTCTTAAGGTAAATGGATGGATGAAGGTATTCTGAGCAAATGGACCCAAGAGACAAGCTGACATGGTCATTTTAATTATAGATTTCACACCAAAACTAATCAGAAGAGATATTCAATGATAAGGTAAATAAAATCCATCAAGAGGATATTACAGTTCTAAATATTTACCAAACACAATGGTAACCAGCTTCATAAGAAGAAACACTCCTACAGCTAAGATGAAACATTGGTCTTAATACACTGATAGTGGGTGACTTCAGTATCATACTTCCCTCCAATAGATATGTCATCCAGATAAAAACTAAACAGAAATGCTGGAGATGAATAACATCATTAAATAAATGGACCTAATAGACACTCCACCCAAACACTAAATAATATACTTTCTTCTCAGCAGTCCATGGAACTTTCTTCAAAATTGACCACATATTAAAAACCAAAGCAAGTCACCACAGATTGAAATAAAATCCTACATCTTTTTCAGACCACGATGGATTAAAGCTTGGTATCAACAACAATAGAAACAGCAGAGAGTTTACAAACTAGTGGAAGACACACAACTCTATACTGAATGAAAACTGAGTTATGACAGAAATCAAGAAATATTTTAAGAAGTTTTTATAACTGAATGAAAATGAAAACTCAACACACCCACACATACGGTACTCAGAGAAGGTGCTTTCCAAAGGCAAGTTCCTAGCACTAAGTGCTGACACTTAAAAAAAAAATTGAAGAAATCTTATATTAATAGCAATTACACACTTGAAATCTCTACAAAATAAAAAGAAATAATAACCCATCTTTACCAATTATAATCTAATAGAGAGTTTATTAGGGTTCTCAGAGGGACAGAATTGAGAGGATGAGCATTTTTATATAAAGTGGAAACTAGGAGGATTAAATGGACAGAAAGACGGGAGGGCAGGGTGAGGGAGGTGATATGAAAAGGGACAACTAACAGTAAAGGCCTTTGGAAAATCTAATACTATAGAAGCTTCCTAAAACATATTCATATATGAAAGAAATTTAAATGGACTCACCATACTATGAGGAAGAAAATGCCCCAAATAGACATACTTTGCCACCAAGTAAAACCTCCAGTATGAGTGATGAGTTACATCTTGTTGAGTTCGTGGGCCAAAGTGATCCCATAGAACCCCCAAAACACCACAGGTGATTGCTGAGAAAAGCATTTACATGTGTCATTAAACATGGAAAAAATCAAGCTGGTACCCAACTAAAAGCTTCTTCCTTACTGACTAGCATTCATGGTGCTGGAAGAAACTTTGCATGCTACTAGAGAAGAAAAGTAGTTAACAATACCACCTAGCTACAAACCCTGAGACTTCCAATAAATAGGAACTTTCCTGCCAGTCATTCTGGTGCAGTAGCAGTACAAGTGTTATGGAAGTAAACCAATCACATTTTGATGCACTTCAGGCCCACTCCAACAGAAAGTGGCCAAGAACCGAAACTAGTTAGGCCATGGGACCTAGGGTAAATAAAACCCAGTACTATTATTCTGCTGATGGAACACAGCAATGCACCCATAGATGCGTATATTGCTTAACCGTCACCACAGAAGTTTTTCTTGCAATAGATGGTAATAAACACAGAGACTCACAACTAGACAATCTGCACAAAATAAGAGAATTCAGTGCACTAAGTCCTAAAGAAGATGGCTTTATCGAACCCCTCCCCTCAAGACCCAGGGACCTCTTGGGAGAGGTGGTTGAAAGATTGTACAAGGCAGAGGTTGTAGAAGACTTCAAGGAAATTGTGTCTTCCAGGCACAGCAGTACTGATACACAAAGAACTCAGAAAACTATGACAGCACACACAAGACCTGCTCAGGTTCAGACCTGAAAAATTTTAGCACTTAGAAGGGGAGGTGGACACTAAATCCCACCCCTAACCAAAAAGTTGTTTGCAGTTGATATCTGCTGGGAAAGGGAAAATCGGTTTTCTCCAGTAGAGTATCACTGAGTATATAAACATTGTTTCTGGGCAAGCCAACATAAAAAAGACTCCATCGGTTTGGTTTTTTTTTTTTTTTTTTTTTTTTTTTTTTTTTTTTTTTTTTGGTTTTTTGAGACAGGGTTTCTCTGTGGTTTTGGAGCCTGTCCTGGAACTAGCTCTTGTAGACCAGGCTGGTCTTGAACTCACAGAGATCCGCCTGCCTCTGCCTCCCAAGTGCTGGGATTAAAGGCATGCGCCACCACCGCCCGGCTCCATTGGTTGTTTTATTTGTGCGTGTGCTTTTTTTCCTTATTGGTTTTTGTTTATTTTGATGTTGAGAGAGAGAGAGAGAGAGCGAGAGAACATAATGTTAGGTAGGTAGGGAGTTGGAGAGGATCTGAGAGGGACTGGAGTGGGTGAAAATACAATCAAAATATGCTGTATGAAAAAAAAATGAATGGAACCACCACTCTAACTTTTGGATTTTAGGAAGAGAAAAAAAGTAAAGAAAAGCTCAATCAATCAGTCTACATATGAAAAAGGAGAGTTATATTTCTTACTCTTTTGCTTTAGACCCTTTAGAATAAATGATGAGCCACTGAAAAAGTATTGAAAAGAAACTATGTTAACTGAAGGTCCCAGGGGGGAAAAAGTCACCCATCCGTTGGACATTGTACCTGGCTGATTAAGAGTTGAGTAATACAGAGTTGTTCAGCTGTTGCAGTTCCAGAGACAATTATCTTGAACTATCTTAACCTTCCCCGCTCAAGTGGGCATTTTTGGTTCACCTCTGTGACGGACCTAACATTCTTCCGGCTGTTAGGTAAGTTCTTTGGAATGTGTGCAGAGATCCTCAGCTTCCACTGACCCGAAGGCTGGGAATGCTATCAGATAGTATCTAAAACCTCCTGCATAGGTCTCTCTGGTTTGTTGCGACATGCCTACCCAAGGCTCCCACCAATGCATTTTAAAAGTTTCTTGATTTATAGTTCTCTTTGCTTGGCTGCTATAAAAATTTCATGAGGTCAGTTGAGTAAGGCAATTCGCTTCAAAAGGCACTTGGGGCATAAGCCTGAGGACCTGGGTTCAATCCCTGGAATGAAAGTAAAAGTGGAAGGAGAGAAATCACTACACCCTGCTATCTTCTGATTTCCTCTTGTGCACATGGCATGGGCTCCACCTCAGTCCCTTCCACCACACACGCACCGTGCACACACAGGATAATAGTGAATAAACAACAACAAAAGCTTCTTGAAACTGTCACCGCATAGGAACACAGAGTTTGGGGTAACCTAAATTTGTAGTCTTAGAATGTGACTCCAGAAGAAACAATCTTTTATTTGTTTTCAGATGAGAGCTGTGTTTTTTTATGTTCACATATGGAACCATTAAAAATTGTGTTACTAGTCAGGCATGGTGGCATATGCCTTTAGTCCCAGAACTGGAGAGGCAGATACAGGAGGGCCTCTGAGTTCGAGGCCAGCTTGGTATATAGAGCCAGTTCCAGGACAGCTATGACCATACAGAGAAATCCTGTCTCAGAAAGCAGCAAACAAAACAAAACAACAACAAATCGTGTTTCCAGGGTACTTGAATAACTTCAAAAATTCTCACGATATAAATGACAAAGTAAGCTATAAAAGTATAGAACATGCTCTCAAATGTCTAAAATTATAGAGCATATATTAATAAGAGAGAAACCTAGCTTCCACGATTAAAGTTAGTTTTATTTTTTGATTTCACTGAGTTTTAAAAAATCAAATTCCAACATATTTCCTTTACATTTAGAAAAACAGTAAAACTCAATAGCTTATGCGATTAAAGCTAGTTTTATTTTTTTGATTTCAACGAGTTTTAGAAAATAAAATTCCAACATATTTCCTTTACATTTAGAAAAACAGTAAAAATCATTACGGCGAATGATCAGGTAGAAACTATAAAGGGGAGTTTAAGTCAACATGGTGGACTGTGCTCGGCCTTTCCCCAGTCCGATTTCAAATCCCTAAAAGTGAACGAAATTGTAGATTTGTATATAAAATTTCTCCCACCCCACGTATTTTTTTTCTTTTTCTTTTTCTTTTTTCTTCTGCTTGTGAGGAATTCCTGGAAGATAGAAAGCAGATGGAGCCTCAGTGAAGTATGCAGTTGGGCAGCAGACAGCCGGCAGGGGAGGGGGGAGCTGGACTGTCTGGCTCTGGTGGGACTGAACAGGTCTGGGTGGGGGGTGGGGGGCAAGAGTAAAGGCGAGTGCTTGTGTCAGTGTGGCTGTCCCAGGAGCGGAAGGCAGGACGGAAGCGGGAGGGGTGGAGGGAAGGAGAGGGCGGGCTCAGAGGAGGAGGAGGAGGATTCCCTGAGCTACAAAAATCCCGGTTCCGCGCAGATTGGCCAAGCTGACAAGCGCTGCCAAGACCAGGCCGCGCAAACTGCTGGGAGACGTGCCACTGCCTGCACTTTCGTTGCTGCAACCATCCCTGTCATCTCTTGTCCACGTTAACTGTCGTCGTCTTCTCTGTTGCCGTTCTGCAACCACCGCAGCTTTGACAACAACAGCTAAGTGGCGGTTTCTGGCTGGGACTTGGGCTTGGGAGTCCGGGAAGGGGCCAGGCGCGGACAGAACCTCGGAGCCCGCCATCTCTCTCTAGCCATCACTACTGCAAAAAACCCCCTCCCTGAAGGAGGAGAAAGCACTAGAGAGAGGCACTCTCTGTCTCAGTTCCCAGTCAGTTAGTTTGTTGCTGACAAAATCTGAAGACGGGAGAACGGACATAGTCTCTCAGATCGCGAAAAATTTCTCCGACTGGGTCGACTGCAGTGTCGACTGTTTGCCAGCTTCGTAAGCAAAGGGCAGCTTTGCTTTGGCCACCTAAGCCGTGAGCCATGTCTCCTCCGACCGTGCCTCCTACTGGGGTGGATGGCGTGTCCGCCTACCTGATGAAGAAAAGGCACACTCACAAGAAGCAGCGGCTTAAGCCCACTTTCCTCACTCATAGGAACATCGTTGGCTGCCGCATTCAGCACGGCTGGAAAGAAGGCAACGAGCCAGTGGAGCAATGGAAGGGTACTGTGCTCGAGCAGGTTTCCGTGAAGCCCACTCTCTATATAATTAAATACGATGGCAAAGACAGTGTGTACGGACTAGAACTGCACAGAGACAAGAGAGTTTTAGCTCTGGAAGTTCTTCCCGAGAGAGTTCCGTCTCCTCGCATTGATTCCCGCCTGGCAGATTCCCTGGTTGGGAAAGCAGTGGGACACGTGTTCGAAGGTGAGCACGGCAAGAAAGATGAGTGGAAGGGCATGGTGTTGGCGCGAGCTCCCATAATGGACACTTGGTTCTACATCACCTACGAGAAAGATCCGGTCCTCTATATGTACACCTTGCTGGATGACTACAAAGATGGTGACCTGCGTATCATCCCAGATTCCAACTACTACTTCCCTACAGCAGAACAGGAGCCAGGGGAGGTGTTCGACAGTCTTGTGGGCAAGCAGGTGGAGCACGCCAAAGACGACGGATCCAAGAGAACTGGCATCTTTATCCATCAGGTGGTGGCCAAGCCGTCTGTCTACTTCATCAAGTTTGACGACGATATTCACATTTATGTCTACGGTTTGGTGAAAACCCCATAAACTTATAGTGAACTGGGGGAATTATTGGAGGTAAAATATTTGACGTTCTCAAAATTATGTGTTTTGAGAACAATTTTGAGGTCAAAAGTTCAGGACGGTTGGTAAATCTTAGTGTGCCTCTATATCTTATATTCACTATTGCTCGGTTTTGAATCAAGTGTATGTTAGTACTTTCATTGTTTATTTGTTTTGTAGTTGAGAATTTAAATTGGTTGCTAAGAAAGAAGTTAAAAAATGTTTGAATCCACTGACACAATTCAGAAGTAGATAAACTGTGCAACATGTCTCCGTCCAGATTAGTTTGAGAACTTGGTTTTTATCTTAGGATGTTTTCCCTACTCAGAAAGTTCGATGTAGCTTTTGTAAGATTCACCAGCCGACGTGCAGTCATCTCTGCCTCTCAGCCTGACACTTCCTCTCACAACTGTGTACACACTTTGCCAAAAAGTACTCATTCTGTTGTTGGTGATCATTTCTTTCCCTTTGGACTTGTATTGCTGTTTTATTGTATTCGGGTGCTCTTATGTCTATGGAAGTGTTAAGTAAGCATATATATGTGTGTGTGTGTGTGTGTGTGTGTGTGTGTGTGTGAAATATTGCAAGGCTGGCGTTCACTGGTCTTTAATGTTTGAAAAGCTGACTGGTAAAAAGTTCCATGATTTTCCTGATTAGTTTGTTTGGTGTTTACCTGACTCAATGAGATTTATTTTTCTACTTGGGATATTTCTCTTTTGTGTTTTGCTAATTCTTATCCTTTGTTCTTTTAGCTGTTCAATTGATATATTTTCATATAAAGTAGTAGGAATGTCTACAATGAAAGTACATTGTAATCATTTGTATTTCATGTGTTAATGAATTTTACTTTATATGATTAATTTTGACTTTATTGATAATATTGTTCACTTTATAATTTTTAAAACTTTAAGTAATTTTATAATTTTAAAACATTATCTCTTATGAGTTTTTGATTTCTTATTTTTCAGACAGATATCTCTAAGTCACACCAGTATTCACTTTGTTTTTCTCATAATTTTTATTTCAGTTTTTATCTATCTGAAATTTATTTTTCCATATAGAAATACATATGGATTAACTACAACTTTTTTCACATAGTCAATTGTAGAAATTACTTTTTTTGAAATTACTTTTTTTTAAAGATCACATTTTTTAATTTTTTGAGTGAAAATGAGTTTTAAACATAGTGGCTGACCATAAGTTTCAAAGCTGGAATAACAAATTCCCTTTCAATAGTTGTTTTTTTCTTCCTTATTATAATTAATTCATCCTCTACATTCATCTATTCACAAGAAAACTCAATGCATTTTATTAATATTTTGAAAAGGATCTGATACCTATTGGAATTACATCAATTTTATGTATTCTTACATATAAGAATAATATTAATAGTTATATTATTCCTTAACATGCAAGAGTTTTGGTTCATTAGTGAAATATTTTTATCATTTTTATTACATTCTTCATATAGATCATTCATATTTAATGGAATTTATTTTTGCAGTTGACAAATTTTGGAATAAATTGAGCATTTTTTCCTCCTTATATGTAACTTTTTATTTTTATCAAAAAAGGAAATCTATAGATTTTATATTTTTATCTTTTATCCAATGAATTTATTTAATCCTATAGATTACATTGGATTCTGTTAGAAACTTTTGGATTTTCTTGATATATACAATAATTTTACATATAAAGAGAGATCATTTTATTTCTTCTAATGCTTATACTTTTTAGCATTACATTAGCTGTATTCTCCACAGCAATGATGTGTATGATGATGGCAGACATGCCTATTCTATTTTAATTTTTATGAATAATTTTACTGTTTCATGTTTGATTTCGTTGTTGATTGTTGGTAAGTAGTTATTCATGTGTTGAGAAATTTCTCCTATTTCTGTTTTTACATAGCATTACCTTTAGAAATGTCTCCTCTTTTTTATCAATGTTTTTTCAATATCCGTTATTAAAATTATGTTTTTCCTTTAATTTTTTGATATATGATTTATTAGAAAATTGGGTATTTAGTACTAAAACAAACATGCATTTCTGAAATAAATGCTACCTGGTCATGGTAAAATGATCATTTATTATTTTGCTTTATTTTATTTACCAATAATTCACTTAGAGTTGGATTTGCATTTCAAAATGAAGTTGCATTTTAGGTTATTCTTTTTATTTTTAATTAAACTAACAGACAACTGGTTGTGTCATATTTTTTTCTTTCTTACCCTGTCTATATGAAACTTTGTTATTAAAATTCTGTTGGCTTAAAACAGAATTTTTTTGCGAAGTAGTTTAAATGGCATTAGAAATGTTCTTCAAAAGTTAGGTGGGACTAAGCTGTAAAGCAGTCTAATCCTGGGAACATGGTTGATGATGGGTGAATCTAATGAGTTTCCTGATATTTTCCCAGCAGCAATTGGCTTTTTCAGACTTTTTGGTAATACAGAATATATATTTTTCTGTCATTTACAGAATATATATTCTCTGTCAATTACATATAAAGTTGAATGTTGTTTATATTATAAAATTTGCTGATTATATTTTTTCAGGTGCTTCATGTCCTTGTATATTTAATGTGAATTAGATTTGTCCAGTTCAGAAAATGTAAGAAAATTATCAGCTATAATGATAATATAATTATCTTTGTATTCTTTTATTTACTAGAAAAATAAGACAAAATATAAGAAACTATGAAAGATGTGAAAAACATTTGTTTACCTCCACTTCAAATTATCAAATATCAATACTTTGTCATATTTGCTTTAAATGAAGATTTATATTAAAATTAATCAGTGTTAATGGCTAATAACTTCATTTTCTACCACCATACCACCTCTTCTGTAGAAGCAGACACTATCATGTATTTGGTGCTCATGTTTTATATATTTACTCAAAATAAATTATATACAAATAAAACTATAACCAATAATTATAATGACTTTTGTGTTTTCTAATGATGCCAACATGAATAGCTAACTTTAATCCAAGTGGAATTTATTCTGGTTTTGTTTTCAGGAACCTTTTAAATTCTAATTGCTGTTAACATTTACTATTCCAAACACTGGAGTAAGTCTGATCATAGTCCTAGGGACTGAATAAAGAATATATAAATCCCAATTTCTAACAGAACTTACATTATGTCTCTGAGAAGTCACTTATGTGCCACCCTTCTCAGATTTCTAGACCACACATAGACTTTATACATTTCTCATAAGATTTAGGTGTATTATTATTATTATTATTAATTATAGAAAGAGGGTAACCCTAATTTTTCAAGTTCGGGAGACTTCTGGTTTGGGAAATAACGGGGGCAAAATAAATTGGGAGCTCACCAAGGCCAGCTGGACGGGGACTGAAAAAGCATGGGATAAAACCGTACTCTCTGAATATGGTGGACAATGAGGGCTGCTGAGAAGCCAAGGACAATGGCACGGGGTTTTGATCCTACTGCACGTACTGGCTTTGTGGGAGCCTAGCCAGTTTGGATGTTCACCTTCCTAGACCTGGATGGAGGGGGGAGGACTTTGGACTTTCCACAGGGCAGGAAACCCTGACTGCTCTTCGGACTGGAGAGGGAGGGGGAGGGGAGTGGGGCGTGGGGACTGGGGGGAGGGGGAGGGAAAAGGGAGGTGGGGAGGGGGCGGGAATTTTTAATAATAAATAAATAAATAAATCTTTCTGTCTTAGACAATAATAAATCCATTTAAACCCTAAGTCATGAACCACAAATTGAGTTGTTCTATGGCATTAGACCATAGAGTAAATGAAAAATCTGTTCCTTGCCTATAGGACTTGGGGAAAAATTGTTAAACTGTGTAGACAAATGTTCTCTTAAAACATATATCATGGGGGCTGGAGAGATGGCTCAGAGGTTAAGAGCACTGGCTGCTCCACCAGAGGTCCTGAGTTCAATTCCCAGCAACCACATGGTGGGTGGCTCACAACCATCTGTAATGAGACCTGGTGCCCTCTTCTGGCCTGCAGGTATACATGCAGGCAGAACACTGTATTTAATAAATATTAAAAAAAAACATATATCATGAGGATGGGCAGATATCTGTCAGCTGTCCTTTATGCTTCTGAACCTTAGGCCTTATGTTATCATAGAGTGATTTGAGCATATACCAAGACCTATGATTCATAACTGGGTTTGTGTCTAGTCACAACTCTGATTTAGCAGGGAGAATACAATAGTGACTTATTCAGAAGAATACAGAATAGATCAATGTGCTCAACAGTGGCTGTACCCTATAACTTTTGGACTAGAGCTAGATTTTGGGACAGGAATCATTTCACATTTTCCATAGTAAAATTTGTCACACCTAATTGCTTGAGTCAGAAGGAGGTTCACTCTACTGGGAAGTGAATACATCTTTCCAAACTTCTATTTTCTTTGAGATTCTCCTGTTTGAAGGAAACCCATTCCTTCCTCCACATATAGATTTAGATCCTAATGCTTACAATGTGGTACTGTAGTTCTTTCGTTCTGAGGACTGGTCAGAGAGCGGCCTTTCACTGTTCTAACACTGTTATAGGAGAGGAAATGGGCAGAAACAAGGTCTTTGCCCTGTCCATAAAGCTTACACCGTGGTAAACACCGGCAGATTCTCATTCCTCCCAGCACGTTTTCTGGAATTAGAATTGGAATGTGAAGATAGATTTGAAGGAAAAGCAAAATAACAGGAAGTAGAGAGACAAGGCTGGGTCCTGGGGTGTGTTAGTCTGTAGAGATAATCAAAAGATAGATGTCATTGGAACAAGCACTTGAATAAAGCAAGGAAACAAATCCTGTTGCTGATATATTCAGATCAAATATGTACAGTTAAAGGTTATAGCCAAATATAATCAGACAGAATGTGAAAAAGAGACTTAGGGGAGATTGGGCCGATATAAAAACCCAAACAAAACTCATAAATTCCTACAGTATCAGACCTCAATGCTCTGAGTCTGTCTGACCTAGTAACTTGTGTGGTCTTATACAAATATTTAGGAAGTATAGATTACTAGTAGAATATTTGATTGTATTTAGAGCCTAGCTTCTAATGACTTGTGCTGTCTCAATGCAAATGACCAACCTTAGGAAGTACAAGTAGTGCTATAATATTTACTACCTAACACAATATTGATTTCCTACTTCCTTTGTAGTTTAATTAACTAAAAGTTTTCATTTCCTTGTTTATATTTTTAATATTTATTACTTTTTCTGGACAGGTTTTTTTTTTTTTGCCTACATGTTTATCTGTGCATCACTTGCATGCCTAGTAATGGATAGAAACCAGAAGAGGATGTTGGATTCCCTAGAACTGGAGTTACAGATGGTTGTGAGTCATCACATGGGTGCTGGTAGTCGAACCCAGGTCCTTTACAAGCCAATGCTCTTAACTGCTGAGCCATCTCTCCAGCTCTATTTATTTTTACTCTTTAAGAATTTCATATATTTATCCAGATATCCCACACCAAGGCTCTGGGGGTTGAGATCAAGAAAATTTTCTTAACTCTTAAGAAAGCTCAATTACCTATTAGAGGGAAATTCTTTCTCTGAGAATTCATTTACTGTGTTTCTGCTTCTTCTACATAGAAGATATCCTTTACAAAATTTTTAATATCCATTCTGGTCTGGTCAATTCTTTTATCCCTGTACCTTTGGTATATCATTCTCAACACATCTGGTGGCATGGATGGAGACCTGTGCCCAGCAGCAGCTTGTCCAAGAAGAAACCCACGCATACTGTGAGGAGTCGCTTTGCCCATGTCTCCCGTGTCCTTTCTTCATTCTGATGTTTGCGGTGGCTAACCAATCATCTGTGGACAACTGAGAATGTCTGGTTGGGGTGGCTCTCTACCAGTCCACCAGTATGTGACTCTGGACCATCATCACTTCTCAGTGTATAAACTAAGGAGTTCCTTCCACCCACTGTGAAATGTCTACTTTCTGTTTCTAACTGCTGATGGACTCCGATCAAAACTTATACGTTCATATAAACTGTAGGCAAAAGAACAAACAGGGCTGCTTGCTATATACTTTCTCAGGAAAAGGGCTTATTTTTCATCCTTGTAGCGTGGTTGGTGGCACCAGCTTGTCTGAGATGAATGTGCACATACTGTGAGAATTCCATCTTCCCTTTCTTGTCCTCCCCTTTTCCTGCCCTGGAAACACTGCTCCTCTGATGGGAGGGCACACAGCATGTGGATGAGAGTCTGTCCATACACTCTCTCCTAGCTATGCTTGTATGCTTTCCTAGTGAGTCCTCTCTCCTCCTTACATTCATCCTAGTCTGTAAACTTCCCCTTTGCAGTGGGTCTGCCATGACCAACTGGACAGGTTCATCTCCATGGCGAAATGTGTTTCCATCTCTACAGGTTGAGAACGCCTTTTCTTAAGAAGGCCAAGATTAAGGCACTCTGACAGCAGGGAGGTCTTTTGCCCTAAGGGACACATTTGGTGTAATGGATCCCAAGTTCTCTATCCCCTATGAATGGCTACTGGAAGGCATTATCAAAGATTAATCAAAGTTTGATCGTCAGATTCTCAAAAAGAATAGTAATACGTATTTTCCTTGGTAAGAAAATTTGACCTTTGTACCTACTCCAGTCAAGAATGTTGGCTGCATCAAACCTACACCCTGCAATTAGCATTCAAAAATAATTCAGAGACATACTCAGAGATTCCTTACATATAAGTTTTCTCATGACCTTGTCACAGAACACTCAGCTGTAGAAAGGATGTCACACATGCCTTAATAGCTCACCTCCTCTAAACTCGGTTCCAGATGACTGTTCCTTTGCGTGCACACAAACCATTGCTCAACTCTGGATTCTCTACCCTTCTACTTAACAGCTTGGTTCTATCTCCTCCTCCTTGGCCTCTTCTCCTACTGCTGCCTTTCTATTTGCCTTCAGAAGTCTTTGTGGCCTGCAGAAGTCTTTTGAATTGTTTCTATTCCTTACTCAGATACACTTTCTCCTCATACATTTACTCTGGTCCTTCATGTGGTGAATTTAGAAAACAGAGACTATTGCTATTTCTCTACGAAAACACCAACTTCTTTCCTACGAAGCACCATATGAGTACCTAGCCCCTTCTCTCGTCCCAAATACAAGCCGAATCAAAGTCAGAACCCATCAGCCTTCATTATAGAATTATTAGGGCTCATTGAGGCCTTTGACCTAACATGGCAAGACATCTACACCACCATTATTACCTGCTATTTGTATAAGAAGTCCCGTATCTGGTCTTTAGTCTATGCCTGGTCAGGCTCAATTGTCATGCCTGACACAGAGGTCTACTGGTTATAACAGACCACTGACATAAGAAGCAATAAGGCAGCCTCCAACCAAACTCTAGAATTAATGACTGAGGGAAACCAATGAGGCCATTATCAATTCTGTTAACTATAACAAGTTATAGGAGATCTTAGTAGTCCTCATTGTCCGATCAGTTTTTGATCCCACTGCACGTACTGGCTTTGTGGGAGCCTAGGCAGTTTGGATGCTCACCTTACTAGACCTGGATGGAGGTGGGTGGTCCTTGGACTTCCCACAGGGCAGGGAACCCTGATTTGCTCTTTGGGCTGACGAGAAAGGGGGACTTGATTGGGGGAAGGGGAGGGAAATGGGAGGCGGTGGCGGGAAAGAGAAATCTTTAATAAATAAATAAATAAAAGAAAAAAAAAACAAGTTATAGGAGATAACATTGAGAGCTTCCAAAAACTCTACTCTCTCTTTTAGTTTAGGCTACTTTAAACCATAGATCCTCAGAGTACAGAGGTCCAAGCTATCCTTGTCATAGAGTATATAAGTCAAACACTCCAGATATCGCACAAAAATTTCAAAACTAGATGAGCCATCTCAGACTCCTTTCCCTACTCTACTAAACACAACTTTTTTCTTTCTATTTTCTTTTTTCTTAATCTTCAACAATTATTTCTTGCCGCT